GTGTGCCCCAGGTGTGGCTGTGCCCCGGGTGTGACTGTGCCCCAGGTATGGTGTGCCCCAGGTGTGGCTGTGCCCCGGGTGTGACTGTGCACCGGGTGTGGCTGTGCCCCAGGTGTGGCTGTGCCCCAGGTGTGACTGTGCACCAGGTGTGGTGTGCCCCGAGTGTGGCTGTGCCCCGGGTGTGGCTGTGCCCCGGGTGTGGCTGTGCCCCCAGGTGTGCGTGTGCTCCAGGTGTATTTCCCAGGTACTCAGGGTGAGATTGGGAAAATAGCAGGACATTTCTACACTAGGTGGGACAAGCTGCTTTCTGGGGTGGCCCCCTCATGCCAGCCCCTCTGTGGGATCTCCATATCCCTCATCCTCTGAGGCCTGGCGCATGGTGGGGCTCAGTGACTGAAGGAAGGACTGTAGGAGGGGACGATGCGGGGGGGTTGACCTGACCTTGGGCCAGATGCCCTTTGGGGCTGCCTCAACCTAGAATAGAGTGTCTGAGCTGGAATGGGGGTCCTAGCCCCACTCTATGAGGTGAGAAACTGAGGCTTGGAGAGAGGAGGAGGTGGGGCTTCCCAGGACTTGTGGGTGGTATGCAAGGGGAGCTGGCTGGTGCGGTGGGGACTGTGTTGAGGGCCCTGGGAGGGGCAGGGGGATGCATGCAGACAGAGGCTCTGCTTGCCCGCAGAGTGCCAGCTGATGAAGACGGAGCGGCCCCGGCCCAACACCTTCATCATCCGCTGCCTGCAGTGGACCACTGTCATCGAACGCACCTTCCACGTGGAGACTCCCGAGGAGCGGTACGTGGGCTGCGGCGGCCAGGCCGGGCACTTGGGCAGCTCTAGCGCTTAGGAGGGACATGGGGATGGCGGGTGCTGGGCGCCTCTGCCCATAGCCATCCTTACTCCCCAGTGATCCCAGGCCCTCCTCAGAGCCCGGTTTGGAAACTGGCCCAGTCCTGTGGGGTTGGGTGGGGAAACTGAGGCTGGAGATAAAAACTGTCTAGGGACCGGGCACAGTGGCCGACATCTATAATCTTGGCACTTTGGGAGGCTGAGATGGGCAGATCACTTGAGACCAGGAGTTCGAGACCAGCCTGGCCAACATGGTGAAACCCCCGCCTCTACTAAAAATATAAAACTTAGCTGGGTGTGGTGGTGCACACCTGTAATCCCAGCTACTTGGGAGGCTGAGGCACAAGAATCGCTTGAACCCGAGAGGCGGAGGCCGCAGTGAGCCAAGATTGTACCAGTGCACTCCAGCCTGGGTGATAGAGCAAGCCTGGGGGGCGGAGTCCTGCTGTGGGCCTGGGTCCTGCTGGGGGTTGGAG